CACTCGCTCACTCGCTCGCTCGCTCGCTCACTCACTCACTCACTCACTCACCCACCCACCCACCCACCCACAAACAACAAGATTATCCACAAGGGGGAGCTACTAGCATTCTAGGGAGAATTCCCATTGGCCGCCGATAATGAGAAAGAGAAAAATATATGGTAATTTCTTCAGTAGTGCTGTATAAAAATGAACGGAGACTACCCAGGACAAACAGTGCGTACCAGACGAATACTGGAGTGCACATATCTAGACATGTTAGTGACCTACTGCATTCTCAGTGTGTGGCAATTGGCCAATCACGCAAATGCCACCACCCTAGAAAAAAGCGTAATTATGATGACAAGGAAAGATAAATCCTAAAGGGTAGCTATAGGGAGAGAAGGAGAAAAGCTTCAAAAAATGCAAGGGGTGTTTGTGTGTGTATGTGTGTGTGTGTGTGTGTGTGTGTGTGTGTGTGTGTGAAATAAAAAACATAAAGTTACTGAAGGTTTTAAAGAACGTTATTATATAATATCAGAACGAGGAACCTCAGGGCAAAAGCACAGAAGGGATAAGATTGCCACTTTATTTAGCAATCTGAATGTAGTTCCTAGTCAATTATTTCAATTAGTATTCATTTTAACACTTTTTTAAAAAACATACAATAATATCATTTACAAGAATGAATTTATGTAAGGAAAAGTTTCACTTTCTCACATTAATCTACCCCAACCTACATAAGTCAGCTGGGATATGGTAATATCCACTGGCAAAAAAGGCAAATGGGATACTAAATACTGGTGCTTTGCATCAATGACACTTTTGTATCCTTGTTTCCAGCTTATTAGAAATTATTGCTTACTTTTATTTCCTGTAGTGAAACAACCAAGCTGACCAGTTAGTGACATAATGAAACTGGACAAAGTGTTTGTCTTGAATGACTTTCAATGAGCTACAGAATTAATGCTACCTAACTGAATTTAAAAATAATTGAAAAAAATCTAATTTAAATATTTTTAGAAAAGATCTCCTCTTCTACTTACAAACACATTTGTGGTGTGAATTAAAGTTTAGATTCTGCACTTTCAATAGAAATATTCCACTTGTTTCCATGAGCTATGAGTGAGAAATAATTCATTTCACATTGTACTATACTTTGTAATAACAGTGTGAACCGTGATCAATGTTGGAGTAGATACTTAAAATAAGCAGTCCACTCTAAATTATTAAATTATTACTTCTCTCAAACTGTACTGGGATTACTCTACTTACTACTTCCTGGAACAAATAATTTCTTTACTTTACATCTATGCTACTCTCTAAAACACAAACAAGTCTGTAATAACTAGAGAGTAAAATTCCATTGTTGTTTTTGGTATCTTAATTAAAAACATATAGCCAGTTTTGTCTCTTTCTGTGAATAACACTCAATTTAATCAGATTAAGGCTTTTTACACCCCTTCACTCACCCACTGACACATTCATGTAGCACTTTCTCTCATTATGAGCTGAATCAGAATTACTCATGTGTCCTCCAGAAAATTATATATGCTACAGCATGTATGTTTGTGCCACAGACTTCCCCTAATGTCCTTTCACACTTCCCATAGGCTTGTGTCGACCTCATCAGTCATGAAGCCCTGCTGTGGGGTCTCCCTGGCCACAGACTCAGGGGCCACCCAGCAGTGACCATTCTGAAAATCTCACATTCTCGCACTTCTCGCTGCTTTCCCTCTGGTTCTGTCTCCTCTCTGTCTCTGCTCTGCCCTGTCACGTGGTCTCATAGCTTCTCACGTCTGCTTGAAGGGGTTATGTCTTTGTTATCAAGCCCCTTGTCATGCATATGTCTATGGGTGGGAGAGTAGTGTGGAAAGGAGGAGACTGCTGGACCAACATGATCTATGCATGCTCCTGTTGCTAGGCAGGTCAAGCATTACAGAGCACTGGCAAAAATCTCATTCAACTCAAAGAAAAATTGTAGTACAGAATGGTTATTTGTTAAAATATGTTTTTTGTTAAAATAGGCCCAACCACTGTAAAGTTTAATCCCTGGCAATGCCCCAGCCATCCATGGCCAGGAGTCTAAAAGAATATAACTGGCCTTGCTTTCTCTGAGTGGGTTTGATGGCCCTCCCTCTCCTCCAATCACTCAGTGTGATGCTAGCCGACATAGGTGTCTGTTAGCTGCTGTAATAGAATAGGCAGTTAGTGTTCTCCAAGGGTGTTGAGGTGTCTAGTGATGCTGCATTCAGCTTGGAAAGATGCAGTGGCTCTTCAAGTGTCTCAGAGAAAGTATGTGTTAGCCCTCACCCTCCCAACTTGATGGCATCATGTGGTAAGAGGAGACATAAGTGTAATGATCTGACAGAAACCAGACGCTCGTGGATTGAAAAGATCACAGCAGTTTTAATAACACAAGGCAAAAACATGGTCGAGTAACAGGCGTGGGTCGAGTCCAAAAAACACAATAGAAAAAGAAAGGTGATCATAACACCAGGAAGGAAAAAAAAAGGAAGGCTCTGAAGGAAGTTGTGCAGTGACGTGATCTCCCGTTGGACTCTGGGAGATGGAGTCCGTTTCCTTTTGACAGCTTGCCAAATGCGTGACAATAAATGGGTGAGAATTGACTAAAATTTGAGGCAAAATAAAATATATAGTTAGCAAAACAAATCAGCTGGTTAAACATCTGATTATTATATCATTATATTTTTGTACTGTTTTTATTTTATTTATCCATGCTGTAATGACAGCCACTACTTGATAGTTCAAGCTCCACTATCATCAGAAATATCAGATTTCATTTAGAACTTTGAATGATGATGGATCCCATTTCCAATACACCGGAATCTGAAAAGTTCATTTCCAAAAATGATTAACGGCATCCTTTAGAAAACAAGCTATCATGAGTTATTCTTAATAAATAGCGCCTTCAGAAACATGATTTATGAAAATTCATTAAAATAGAAATATCTGTTTTTTTTGCAAATAAACTCATTTGTTTTCTGCCAACTTCCAAAGCCAAAAACAAATTTAAAAATGTTGTTGTCAGTTTTGTGAATTTAGTACCTACAGTGGTCCTTAATGAGCTGTGTCAAAATGAAAAATTTAAAGAATGCATTGTGCCATCAAAGGTAAGACATAAATGGTCCATAAAAATTGTGCTACTTGCCCTGGCAGTGTGCGTTAGCCTAAGATGATTAGGTTTAGGTTTTTAAGTTTGCGGTGTTTGATCTCTGTTAAGTTGCCTTCATCACACAGAAGTTACAGTGATATTATGTTGATGTGAATCCAGTATTCTGGTTAACGTTTACACAGTCTTGCTATTGTGTTGTGTCAGCATAAAGCAGAAGTACTGGAATAGGTATAATGATGACAGTACTGCTATCAGCAATAGGCTATAGCCTGATGTCATGATATTGTGGCACATAGCAAAACCAGAGAGATGCGAACAATTTTGATAGCTGTGGGCACAGACACACAGATCTACAGGCATGCTTGACTACTTTGAGATGAGTACAGCTATCTTATTTTGATCACAAACACATACACACAAGTTTTTAAAACACGTATGCAAACAACATCCAGATATGGGAAGCATTTTAATGCCACAGGTAAACAGGACCTAAGTTGCATCTGTTGTTTTCTTTTTTTAACTAGTCCTTTAAAAAGGCTGGAAACAAAAACCAAACCTTGATTTATAACAGTAGAGAGTGCTCCACATCATTAAACCTTCAATAATTCCCATCTGCATGTACTCACAGTGGGGCTGTTCTGTTTCTCCTTAATGAAAATGTAAGGTATAAATGGTTAGCAAGATCCATTAGACTCAGCACTGTGCATAAGCTAATAGCCTCTGTTGCTTTTATGGGCCATTTTCTCGCTCATCAACTTTAAAGCAGCCCAGAGACTAAACTCAGAAATTCAGATGCAATCTGCAGGGATTGTGGGGCGTCCCATCCAATCAGGCCGATTTTAACCGGACCACTCGAAATGTGCCAGAATGGTTTTTATCTGCACGGCTCAAGCTTGAACTGACAGTCCATCACAATTACGCGGTGTGTGTGTGTGTGTGAGGTGCTGTCAGACAGGTGCTGTAACACACTTTGTGCCTCCTCTTCCTCCAGCTGCTCTTCCTCACACACACTTGCAGCTTCCGCAAATTTTTCATCCGGCCGCGCGCTGACATATGTCAAACTAGAGCTTCAAGAAGTCTGGAGTGTGTGTGTTTGTGAGTGTGTGTATGAGAGACAGTTAAAAAGAGAAAAGAAATAGTGCATTTAAGGTTCTGAACAAAAGTTTTCTTCTCATTCTTTCTTCTTGCATGTGTGTGTATCTGACTGAAACCAGTCAGAACTGATGTGTTGAGAGAGAGAGAGAGAGGTCTTACATTCTCATAATTCTGGATGTTTAATAATTTGTGTTACAGGGGATGACAGTCTGTTTGTTCTGTGAATTTTATGATTCCTTCTGTAAACAAGTTATTCCATAAACTACGCTGCATGATCTCAGCCTAATTCACCTAGATCCACCTGAGAGCATCTCTGCTGTTTTTCACCTCGTCCAGCCTCTAGATTAACACACAGAACCAATACATATTTAATAGTATGATTCAAAACATCAGGGACTTACTGTTACCTTAGAAAAGCTAGTTTCAGCCCTTAGAAATTCTTATATTATTGACATTTCACTGTAAAATCGATTCACATTTTTAAAATGTAATTACATAATTAGTTTTACTTTACATTACTTTTCAAGGGAGGTTCAAGACTGTACACACAACACAATAACTTTTCATCAAATTCAAGTCATACTAGAATATCTCCCCTTCAAGTCTGCACTTTCCACACAATTTTACCACTTGTTTCAATGAACTACAAGTAAGAAATAATTAACTTATGATTACAACATGATTTTGTTATAACTATGACCTCTAAGGGGGTTAAACTCACAAAGGCCAGCTCTTGCTGTAATAATCCAGATTAAATAATCTAGGTTAAACTCTCTCTCTGTCCCTGTAGGCAAGTTCACCTGTATTGAGGTACGTTTTCACCTGGAGAGGCAGATGGGTTACTATCTGATCCAGATGTATATTCCCAGCCTGTTGATCGTCATCCTGTCCTGGGTGTCCTTTTGGATCAACATGGATGCTGCTCCAGCCCGCGTGGCTCTGGGCATCACCACTGTCCTCACCATGACCACACAGAGCTCTGGCTCCAGGACATCTTTGCCAAAGGTCAGCAGCTTTCTCAGGATTGGTCTTAAATCAGTTATTACTTAGAGCCTGGGTTTAAAGCAATGAAGCCAAATTACCATGTTAAGCAATTTCCCCCTAACTGTTTGCTTGTTTGGTTTTGCAATAGTGGTATGATGCTATTGTAGCTAACAAGCAATGGAAGCTTACAACCAGCTGTTTATATATTTGAGATTACTTAATTCAACGCAAATTGAGGCATGTATGTAGTTAATCAGCCAAGATATATTTGATATTATTATTTATAAAAAAGGAAATTCAGGCTTCAAGATTGCCACAACTGTTTTAGCTATGCTATGTACCTTTATCCAATTATATATACTGTGTCAGAAACTACATAAGTAAGTCTACTTGAGGTTATTTAAAAACTGGGCACAGTTTGAGGCAAATAAGTGATGATTTAGGCTGCAGTTGGCACAGTGATAATTAGTGGGGTATCAGGTTTCATTACTTGTTTGCAACATTAGCTTGTAGCTTTAGTAAACTCCACTGACCAACGATATACTCACTGAGTACTTTATTAGGAACACCTGTACTCATGCTCATTCGTGCAATTATCTAATCAGCCAATTGTGTGGAGGCACTGCAGTACATAAAATCATGCAGATACAGGCCAACAGCTTCAGGTAATGTTTACATCATCCATCATGGGGAACGGAAAATGTTTTTATCGTACACTTTGGGCCCATTTATACCAGTCATCGCTTACAGCATGTCACAAAGCAAAAGTCATCTCAAACTGGTTTCATGAACATTCTTCAGGGGCCTTCCCAGTCACTAGGTCAGAGTCCAGTGGAGCAACTTTGGAATGTGGTAGAACAAGACATTTGCAGCATGAAAGTCCACTTGGATAATCTGCAGAAATTCAGTGATGCAGTCATGTCAGTGTGGACCAGAATCTCAATAAATAATTTCCAACATCTTGTGGAACCCATGCTATGAATAACTCGGGCTATTTTCAGAGCAAAGGGAGGTCCAACACTGAATTAGTATAGTGTTTCTAATAATAAAGTGCTGGACTTGACTGATCAAGTATGTTTGGGGTAAGGGAAGACTTTGAAAACTAGTGCCATAAGATGGTGACTCTTAATCCTAATCCTTCAAAATTTTGCTGCTTTTAATATTTACTATTGTAGTTCAGAGGTATCTGTTGGGAAAATAATTTCCTAGTGAATCATGCTGGCGTAACATTGAACAGGAACCAATAACAGTCATATAAAGTTATAACTTTTTGCATGATAACATGTTTGGAGATAATAGATTCGAATTAGATTAAAATATTTTGAAATTCTAATACATAGGTCATTTTAACAACTTTTAACACTTACTTCCAGAAATATTTTTACAGTCACCAATGAATTAGTTACAAAAAGAGTATTATATTTTTGTGAACATACAAACCCCAATTCCAAAAAAATAGGACAGTATGTGAAATGCAAATACAGCAAGCAGTGTTTTGTAAATCCACTTTGATCTGTTTTTAATTGAAAACAGTCCAAAGAAAAGATATTAAATGTTTTACCTTTGATTTACCTTTTTAACTTCATTGTTTTTGTAAATATATACTCATACTGAAATTGATGCCTGCGACACATTTCAAAAAAGTTGGAACAGAGGCACTTTAAGACTATGAGTGTTGTGAAATATTCAAAAACATCTTAAACAGGTGATGCAATCATGCTTGGGTATAAATGGAGCATCCAGGAAGGGCCTAGTTCTTTATAAGCAAAAATAAGTTGAGGCTCCCTACTTTGCCAAAAAAAAATCTGTGAGTAATTCAGTAGTTTAAGAATAACATTCCTGAATGAGCAATAGCAAATGATTTTAGGTACTTCACCCTCTACAGTGCATAATGTCATGAAAAGATTCAGGGAATCTGAAGAAATCTCTGCATAAAGGGCAAGGCTGAAAACCACAGCTAAATGCCTGTGACTTCAATTTCTCAGACAGTACTACATTAAAACTTGCTTGCATGCTTCTGTGATGGATATCACAACACAGGCTCATGAATACTTTAACATACTGTTGTGAATAAGCACTGTTTGTTGCTGTATTGACAAATTCAAGTTAAGACTGTACTATGCACAGCAGAAGACATATGTCAACAACATGAAGAAGTGCCATTGACTTTTCTGGGCTCAAGCTCATGCACGGTGGAAATGTGTAAAGTAGTCTGACGTGTCAACTTTTCAAATTGTTTATGGAAATAATAGACATTGTATTCTCCAGGCCAAAGAAGTAAAGGACCTTCCAGATTGTTACCAGCATAAAGTTCAAATGTCAGGGTCTGTCATGGAACGGGGGGTATTAAAGTCCATGGCATGGGTTATTTGATGTCTTATCTTATGAACTTAATATTTTTTTAATACTTATATACTTAATTTGTTTATTCCATGTAGACCACTGTGTTACACATGAAGCAACATATGCTGCACACTAGATGTCTTTTTCAGGGACGTCCAAGCTTTTTTTCAACATGACAACGCCAAGCATTCTGCATGTGTTAAAACACCATGGCTGCATAATTAAAGTATGGTTGCTAGACTGGCCTGCTTGCTGTCCAGACCTGTCTCCCACTGAAATTGTGTGGCACATTATGAAGCGCAAAATATGGTAATGAAGGTCATGTATGGTTGCACAGCTGAAACTCGTATAATTAAAGAATGACAGAAAAATTCAAATTTTTAAAAACTGGATACACTGGTGTCTTCTCATTCCCCAAACAATTATTAGGTGTTATTTAAAAGAAAGGTGATGTAACACAGTGGTTTACATGGAATAAACAAATTAAGTATATAAGTATTAAAAAAATATTAAGTTCATAAGATAAGACATCAAATATCATGTTTTTGTATTGTTTTCAATTAAATACAGGCTAAACAGAATATATTAATAACTGCTTTCTTTTTTTTTAAATTAGCATTTAATATATTGTCCCAACTTTTGGAACTGAGGTTTGCATATAAAATGTGCACTAAAAAACTCCTGTTTAGGGGAAACAAGAATAGCATATCACAGATTGCCAAAAATGGTCCTTTAAATGATTTTTTATTATTGCTCCCCGTTATGGAACATGTAAGATTCACAGATCGGCACTGGTTTTAACCCTATAATGCAGAAGTGAATGCCATGTGCCAAGCACTTTAAAGGCATATAAAAGCTTTGACAGCCGTTATATAATATAATTCCACATTCCAGAAGACACGGTCTTCACCTGGTGGACAATTATTTAGTGATTTACGGTCGAGTAGGTGCACTGTAGTGGGCTGTAACACTTCATGAATGAGTAAAATCATACAGATCCCCCTTCTACTTAATAATGCAGTGACTGAGCTGCTCAGTGCTGGCCAGGGTTATTATAGTAAAACTAAAAGTGAGACTGAAATATTACTACTACTAAACCTGCTAGCGTATGTATGACACTTCAGTTCCACACTTTTATAATATAAATGAATCCAAATAAATATTAGTTTCATAGTAGCTACTGAACAATAAGTCTTAAAATTATTGTCTATTAATCATGCGTATTAAGGATTTAAAACGTTAAATAACAAAAATGCAAACAAAATGTTTCCTAGTATACCGTATAGAGCACAATAATAAAACTATGTAACTACAAAGCTTTTATAACCTTCATGCAAGCCCAAGTGGAAGAGCTAATAACTAATTGAGGAATCTGTGCATGTGTCCATGTTGTGCAGGTGTCCTATGTGAAGGCCATAGACATCTGGATGGCCGTATGTTTGCTTTTCGTTTTCTCTGCCCTGCTGGAGTATGCGGCAGTGAACTTCGTCTCCAGGCAACATAAGGAGCTGTTGAGATTCCGCCGACGGAGGAAGAAGTCTACCAAGGTAGGCCTGTGCTGTGGAGAGCACGTGACAAAGGTCATGCTGATGTGGTGGATAAAAAATTTGGAAACGATGCAGATGTCTGCTGACCAAGGCGAAGGATATTTCTTCTAAAATAAATGGTGTTAATAAGGAGTTTGTTCCCCCATTTTGCGGCAGCAACAGCCTCTTATTTTCTGGGATTGCTGTACACTATTTGTTGGATCATTACTGTGAGGATTTGATTGCATTCTGCCACAAGAGCTTTAGTGAGGCCAGATACTGATGTTGGATGACTAAGTCTGGATCACAAACACACCCCCTTAACCCAAAAATGCTGGTGGAGATGTATCGCTTCAGAGGACGCAGTTACACTGCCCCACAGCCAATTCAAGGTCTGTAATGAATAGACTGTATCCAAAGGCCAAGGCACATTCACATTCATTCAACATTGCTCAACAAACACCAACATTTTAATGACAGATAAAACCAAAAGAACCAAAATGAACTGACAAGAACATTGTAGACCAGTGCGAAAGGGCGAGAACATTTTTGATGGGGAAAACATTCTTAAAAAACTATGCATGAATGAAAACATTTTAGACAAGTGTGAATTGATGAGAACATCCTAGAACAGTGTGAACGGAGAAAAACATGTTAAAACAGTGTGAGTGATGGAGAACGTTCTAGAATTGTGTGAACTGGGGAGATCATCGTAGAACAGTGTGAATGTGGGAAAACATTCTAGAGTTCTAAAAGTGTGAAATGATGAGGGCATTAAAGAATTGCACCTAATACAATGGAGAAACACTTGTGAATGAGTGAAAACAGTCCAGAACAATGCAAATATGGTGAACATTGTTGTATAGTGAGAATGCAGGAGAAGAACATGTGTGAAAGTGTGTGTCTAAGTGCTAGTGTTTGAATGGAGAACATTCTAGAATAGTGTAAATGTGGAGAATAGGCAGAGGTTTCTAGAACCATATGAATAAGATTCTAGAACAGTGTGAATGGGGAGCACATTCTAGACACTTCCCAAAGATCACACACAGGTGTGAAACACCGACCCAGCATTTGAGTTTGTTGGTGTTTGCAAGAGAACGTTGGGCTGGTATGCTCTGGCCTTAAAGGTTTTTTTGGAATACTATTCAAATCCCATCTAACTTAAAAAAAACTGAAAAACAAATAAAAAAAAAAACAGAACCTGTAGGATTGAGTAAGACAGAACAGATCCCTTTAAATTCTCAGCAGTAAGTATTAGCCTAGTCACTCCATCTCTCCCAGAAATGTTGATAGCTACAGTCCGCACAGATGTAAACAAACACTTTGTGAGTAGATGGCAAAGCCTAAATGAAGGCATCCACTGTGCTAAAGGCCAGCCCAGAGCAACACACTGCTTAAAATTGGACTTGACAGAGACTGAAATGGATTAGTGGAACTGATTGGGAGATTAATGGAGTTTTTTTGCCTTTTGGACTCTGCTAGAATTAAGTCTGAGAGCTCTTATTAAATACAGTTTGCATGGCTGATTGAATGGGCCTTGTGATTTTGGGAAGCCTCTGTGTAGATGACTCACTGTCTGAGTTTGTTTCATCCAAACATCATTGCTTCGCTAATTATGAATGAAAGCTAGCGTGGTCCAGGTTGCATAATATGAATTAGATTATGCTAACTAGTCCCATTTAATTCAGTTCAGGTCATTGCTGTTGGCTCTGCTAGCATGTTTGTCTGAATTATTAATTTAATACAAAGGGTCTAGATCATTCTTCTTGTGAGGAGCTTGTATTGTGCAGTGAGGGGGAAGCAAATATTCAGACATGTTTGCTTTTGTTGTTTACTCTAGTTCAGGTGCATATATCTGCTTCAGATTACACACAATATCTTTTGACATTGTACTTATAAATATGAAGAAAGAAACATGTATCCTTAAGCATAAGCAAAGATATATTTAAAAACTATTTTTGATGGGGGAAAAAGTATTTAGACACTATATTACAATAGTTGGTTAAAAATAAAAAATATTCAAGTCATTCATATTAATGTTACATAAATAAAAATGAAAATAAAAGTGTTTTAGTGAAAATTGCATGTGGTGTCATTATAAAAGTTGTTATTGCTCAGAAAGAATTCACACAACTAACAGCACATATGGTAAAGGTGAAAACACTTCTCAGAGACATCATTATTAAATAAACATTGGAATGGAAAAAACTACAGAGGGCTAGCAAAGACTTCAAGCATCCCTATCAGTACAGCTGATTCTGGCACTACAATTTATTACCCCTGGAAAAAGGTGTGTCATACAAGATTTCTCCCAATCTAATGAAAAGGAAGGTTATAGAGAAGCCAGCAGTCACTTGAAAAGAGTTGCAAGCAGGAACAGTCGTTAAACAGAGAACAATAAGCAAAGACATGTACAATTTGCACATGAGTATTTATACAAATCTGAAATATTTAAAACAATATACTCTGGTCAGTACTCTTTGACAATAATTCAGCTCATCATGTTTGGTGAAAGAATGGTTGCACGCATAATACTAAGAACACCACATTCGCAGTGAAGTATGGAGGTGGGAGCATCATGATATGGGGCTGCCTCTCTGCAAGCAGTATTGGGGCATTACATGTCATCAAAGGAGACATTGATGTATGACACATAATTTATAAATGCACAACACAAAATTTAATCTCATCAACCAAGACAGTGAATGGATGTTTCAACAAGATAATGACCCTAAACATACAGCTAAAACAACTCAAAATGTTTGCGTGGCCTAGCCGATCTCTTGACTTGTATACTGTGGAAAATGTATTGAGGATTTTGAAATTGCAAGTCCGAAGGAAACTTGTAAGCTTTTGTAATGCATTATGTGTGTGAATTTGAAGTGGATATATGCACAAAAATATCTGAATGCTTGTTTTCTCTCACTTTAAAACTAGATAGATCCCTTCTTTATAAATTCTTATACTCACCAGCCACGATATTTGAAACCCCTGCCTTGTAGCCCATCTGTGTTGGTCATCAATGGCCAGTTTCTGACCACAGAGCAGCTTTTGGCTGAATATTTTGTTTAGCAGATCAGTGACATTGACATGTAAACTCTCGCAAACTTGTACAGTCATGGCACACAATACAAGCTAACGTGGTCAACAGTGGTCTTGTGGTCAGAAATTGACCAGTGATGAATAGGGTGGAGGGTGGATGAGTAATGTACATGATAATGGACTAATTGTACACCTTCACAATGAACCTGTAAATTAGTTGGCCCTCATAAAGTGTCCAGTGAGTGGAAGTACAAAGTAAAGTAAAGGAACCGAAATGACCTTGTTGCTTTACTCACTACTGTCAACCTTCTTTTAAAGTGTTCTTGTGGGGATCTGGCACAATAGTGCCACCCAGAGGTCATGTCCTGTAATGGCACTTTAGCGGCACGTGAGAAACTAATTGAACATGTTTATTTCAAAGCTTAAGCTTTCTGCAGAGCACAAGGATCAATGCTTACCCTCCACATGGGACAGCAATATTTGTATTGCCTCAAACTCATTTGCTTCACTGTTGCATGCTAGACTTTTTGGCAAACTGTTGAGACGTAAAAATATTGACTTCCTGATGCAATGCTTAACCTGGGGAACGTCTCTGCTGTGTTCTTTAAGAGATCACAGAGGGAGAAGCACATTTGAGTTCAAAGAACATTTTTTGGGGGGTCAGCATGCATGCTCTTCAGTCTCAGTGTTCTTTGTATGTGGTATGTGTAGAAACATTGCATCAGTGCAGTCACAGAGTTAAAAAAAAGAAGGAAGGTTTGAGAAAAAGAGGAAATGTTTACTCAAAACTAAGTCCTTTCCAGTTCATGCAACACATTAAAATTTCATGCTTCTTACTCGTTTGATGCATGCAAATCCCATTTATTATTTCAGTTCTCCAGGGCACGTTCGTCCTAATAAATCTCCCTGCATGCTGAAAACCATCTTATTGTCTGCTTTGTTTGCCATTTTAGTTTTGTTTGTTTTTGTTTCCCTCTCTGTTCATGCACATTCTGAAAGGTGCTTGAAAGCACGTTTGAGGAGGAACTCTCCGAATCGTTGCAAAGTGTCAGTGGCTTGAGGAGTGCAGAGCCCATGTACGGATCCATGGGCCACATCTCCGATTCCAACGACAGGGTAATCTCTCAGAGGATGGCTCCATTTGTTCTGTGACACCTGCCCTGACCTGATCCACAGTGACAGTGCTTCCCCCTCCTTTTATTTCCTATGCATATGTCATTCATATGCACCATTCCATCCATATGCATAGTTTCCTCTGGAGATGAGGAAACATGTTTCCCTTTCCAAAATCCAGTTTTTGTCCCTCATTTCAAAGTTGGCAGATGTTTGAAAAAATGTTAAATAGAGTAGATCTACTGTCATAATATAAAAATATTCACTGATGTAGAACTACATCACAAATATATGAATCAGTTACTCTACACCCATTTCCATGGTTAGGCTTGGAATAACTAGTTCAAAGACAGACCATTACTGGGCTGAATGCTATCATGGTTTGGATAGTTATGCACTGATTACCTGTTTAATGTAATATCTAACCTAATCCCAAGGATTAGTACATTGAAGTAATATACTCTGATAACTTTTGTCTTTTAAGTCATTTAATGAAAAAAATTCTAATAAATTTAAATACGCGTTTAAACAAGACAATTGGGAAAACTGCACTGTTTTATAAAATAAAATATGTATGTGTCATGTACAGTTGTATGCAAAAGTGTGCACACCCCTGGTCAAATGACATGTTTTGTTGAGTGGCAATAAGTAACAATAAGTTAACACATCCTCTATAGAGAACATACTTCTGTGCATTTTATTGCACACTTACAGTTTATTTGCTGAGTTTAACATACTGGGAAAAAAAATAATGTGTGCAAAATTTGTGGTACATTTTGTATGTCAAATTTCATTGTGTCCTTATTAATAAATATATTCGATTACAAATCAACTTATTATATAAAAAATTATTTAATGTATAAAAACAAATAATTTTTAGTATTTATAGTTTGTATAATTATACTATTTTGTCCAGTGTTCCCAGGGTAAATGATATATTTTTTTTTTATTAGTATTATTTTCTCGTATGTGTATGAAAAAATCTAACAACATGGCAGAAAGTCTTCAAGTAACAAATATATTTCTTGCTTTTTATGAAAAAGGCAAAAGGCAACACTGGATAGGCTACTTTCCACTCTAGAAAGATGAAAGCAGCATGAATTTTAACCTCTTGCTCGGGAGCTGAAATTTTAAGTGTTTTTTGCTTACAGCTCAAGCGTGTTCAGGTTTACAGAAAATTGAACAGGAGGTGAATAAAATGTCGCATTTTGACAGTCTGAAAAATTGGGGTTTGGTTTGCAAGAGTAGATTCAATGTAATCTTACTAGTAATCATCCTAATTTTATATTGTATTTGTAATTTGCCTGCTTTTCTTTTTCTGTAGTCATAGTAAAACACACTTATCTTCTTTGAATATTATTAAGCAACACCCGTGTTTCCTAACAACCCAAATCTGAATGCTATTATGCTGAAGATTCAAATAAGTGTTAAAGAAATTTATCAAGTGGACAAAGAAAAAAGGAGATGCAAGTCATTTGACAAGAGGATAGTCCATTCTGTCAGGACTAACTTCAATAGCATGACAGTTTGCTTACTATGCATTACCAGATAAATAGTGAAACAGCTCCTTTCCCCCACTTCTGAAACCAAAACTACCACCCGTGCAAGTATACACTTCCTCCACAGCCTTTGGCTGCTTTTTCAGTTCACTTGCACATAGTGAGGTTAGACTTCACAAAGTCTCAGCAACATAGGCAGAATTTCAATTTAGGCTGGTTCTGGTGGCATAGACACTGTAGACATCACTACAGTGAGGCTGACAACCACAAACTAGCCTAAACCATTGTAGCCATCATGACCAGAGAGAAAAACCAGATAAAAAATTAACCACATACACACAAATGCTGACCTCACATTTAAATGCCTGTAACAATTGACTCAGAAGTGGAAATTTACACATAGATGCAAGGATATGTTAGGGTTCATTCTGTATTATAATATCGCAGGACAAAATACATTTTGTAACATTTTCATTCGCACAAAGGCTTAGACTCCCAGGCTTAGGCCCAAGGACAAAGTGTCCTATATTATAGCGCATCATCATATTTTTTACTTACTTTTTTTCAGTAATGCCTATGTAATGTATTAAAGCCTATTTACCATGTGTGTGTTGAGAAAAATTGCATAAAACTCCATTTCTCTCTCTTCTTATGCCAGTAAATAAAACTTATTGCGAGCAGCTTGTAATGGAAAAAGTAAGCTTATGTTTGTGTTTTGATGTTTTTCCCTTTTATGTTGTACCCAAATCACTTCCATACACAAGTTTTTTTCCTGCCTTGAACCCCCTGCCCCAACCAAACATCACTTTAACTGTATCTCTTTGCTTCTGCCTTGGTGAAAAGGACCACTTCCTTCCTTTAAGATGAATTGCATTTGACGGTTTTCCACTTGGTAGAGTCTCAGTGTTTTTTCCCCCCAGTGGAGTTTTGACATTTTGTAGAGAAAAGGCTGTGTGAAGAGCTGGCAGTGGAAAGTGCAGAGAGAGTAGGGAGTTGAAGGGTGATAGAGAGCAAGTAGAAAGCTAAGGTGAGGTGACCCACTGCAGTCAGAGGTCAAAAGGCACAAAGAAAACAGAGTTTTGGACATGAAAGAATGAAAGAAAGATGAGGAGACTAATGTGACATGACATCTTTTCACAAAGGGAAGTGCATTCTTACTGCACCATTTAAGTGAGGGAAGCTATAACGTACTATAAAGTTTGATTTGACATGTACAGTGCCCTGCCTTTGGATCTTTACAGGTTTGTTTGTTCTTTTATGGTAATAATGACCAATAGAAGTTTTTACTATTCCCTACATTTTAGGTGAGAACAAGTATTGGGACTAATAAATCTAATGAACCAAAAATAATACAAATTTGTTGTGGTTAAAGTGTGATTTCTAACTCCTTACTGCATACACTTATCTTTAAAAATGGGTAAAAGTATAATGAATAGTTAAATCACTAGTAGCAGTTATCTTGGAGCTTAAACTTTGCCTGTACTTTTGACCATGTTTATAGGTAACAGTATGTTATGCAAGGTCAGAAACCACATAAGAAAGTCTATTTGAGACAACTTAACCATATGATGTTGTTTGTGGCAAATTTGCAACAAATTCAGGCATATCATTTGCACGATGCTAATTGTTGGGGCATGAATTTCCATTACTTGTTAACTACTTTAGCCTCGCACCTCCAGTACAAACTAAAAAAGCAACTGTCTGATAGCAAACATGCCTCAGCTGGTTGACTACATTTGGAGTAAGGGGGCAAACTGTTTAAAATAGTTTTTTTCATCACTTTGAGAGACATTGAAGGGTAAGACCAGAGCAGTCAGCTAGCATTCATTGCATTTCTCACCAAAACACAGTGTTAGGGTCATCGTTCAATCTAAGTTGGGACATTCAGTAAGCATCTCTCTCTCTCTGTCTCTTTTCTTGGGCTAGGAGGAGGATGTGAGGGAAAGCCGCCTAAGCTTCACTGCCAATGCAGGCAAGGATGGTGCCATGTCCAAGCCTTCAAACAACGCAGCCATTACTCCCCAGGGACAGCCATCCAGCACGGCAACCCTGGCTGGCAAGAGTCCAGAGGAAATGAGAAAAATCTTCATCGACCGTGCCAAGAAGATCGACACCATATCACGGGCTGGCTTCCCCCTGGCCTTCCTGTTCTTCAACATTTTCTACTGGGTCCTGTACAAGATCCTACGGCATGAGGACGTCCATAAGCCCTAGAAGCCGAGCATAGCTGCAGCTTCACTATATGTCCAAAAATATGCGTCCAAAAGTGTCCACAGGCCCCTTCTCTTTTGTGGATTCAGATACTTTAAGGTACATCCATTGCTGATAAAATGTGCACCCACAACCATATAACCTCCAAACAAATGCACAGGCAGTAGAATGATAGATATGCTTGGGAGCAGCCTAAGGTCACCATGCGCAATGCCAGACCTCAGGTATGAGGGTAAAGCTCTTCGGCATTGAGCTGTATAAAGGCGAAGAACCACCTTTGGGATGTGTTGTAGTGATGAAGCTCCATTGAACACCTTTGAGATGAGTTGATGGGATGAAGCTCCATTGAACACCTTTGAAATAGGTTGGAGTGGGTTTGGGATCCAGACTCTTGTGGCTGAATAAAACCAATTCCCAGCGGCACTGTTCCAACATCTAATCAAAAGTCTTCTCAGAAGATTAGAGAGGGGCCCACACTCCCTATTAATACCCTTAACTTTGTAAGAAACACTGGACAACCAGGTGTCTGGACATTTTTGGACGTATAGTGTTCATGTGAGTGATTGATGGCATTACAGACTTCTGAAACCAAACACAAATACATGGATATCCTGTGATGACATGGACCGAAAAAAGACCAAGCGGCCCCATTCAGTAGCTTTCAGTAGCCATGCTACTAGTGCTGTGTCACATACTTGCGCAAGAAGACACCACATACACTATGCAACTGAGAGGCATCCATGAAGCCTCTGAGCTAACACCACACACCACCACCCACACACGCATACATACACAGAAATGGACCCAGCTCAACAAGTAATAGCCCTTCTGGAGCAGAAGTTTTGCTTTGGCCCCTCTTAAAGACAAAAGTGGGACTTTCCCCCATTGCTTTCATCAGCCCACTTTTCTGTCCTACAGCTTCTACTGCCAGTGTTGAGTGTATTTGTTTAAAATGGCACTGTTACAAAAACATGTTGTATGATTATGTAGAAGGGTTGAGATATAAGAATTACATGCAGATGTTCTTTCATATCGTTACTGTCCAAAAAATAAAAACAAGATAAAAAAACTAGTATCTCCAAACAACTAACTTTACAAGAGCAAGTGAAAGCATTCTTTACTTGTAATGTAAGTTAATATAAAGAGATGTTATTCCAAGTACTTGGAATAGGGGTAGAAGGGCGGCTGCTGTGCTTAAATGATCTAGAAAATTTGAAAAAAATTGAGGTGGACAGCAATGATATGTTTGAACACCAGCAGCGTGCTGCATTCATAGTTTTTTACTTCAGAAACCAGCATTCTGATAAGAGTTGTTTCCAGATTAAAAGAAATGTCTACCAGTTTTTCTTTCATAATTTTACATCTTGTTGGTGTGGAGGGACACACAATGGCTTTACCAACACTGAAGATGATTGAAAAAGAGGGAAGAAAATGATAATAACTGACACAAGGCACAGAACTGATGCTAGCAACAATAGCACAAACAAAGGATAAAGCTAGGAGAGCAAATATAAGCTATGACACACAGGGAAATATGTGTGAATTTGTAAATATAGGGACAGTCACTGTATAAACATCACATAATAATTTAGCTGAGGCAGAGCACAGAATCCAAAGCTGATAGTTGCGGGTAGAGATATTTTGTATGTTTTCAGTTTCAGAATGGTAAACAGGCATTCTGGCCAAAAATAGCATTTAACATATTTTTTGTCCCATTTCACAATAAAAGCAGGAACTGCACTGCACACGCTCCCATATTAACAATGAATGTAGCCTTTCGCACCGGTTGAGTGCATCATGCAGCAAAAAGAAATCCTGACTGCCAAAATAGCCACTGATATAAAGGCTACTAAATACAGCTATGTGGCTTCCTTCTACGTTAGCCAGCCAGTGGGAAAAAAACACGTTTTAAACAACCTAGTCTGAATTATCCACTCCAAAGTGCTTGTAGTTTTCTCAACGGTTCTTCTACCTTCAAGAAACATCATCAAAAGGGGTTTTCCTAGTCCAGAAAATGAAGAACCCACACTCTCAGAAATAAAGGTATGAAACTATCACTGGGGCAGTACCCCTCTTGTCACTGGGGTGGTACCCTCGAGGGTACATCTCAGTACCTTTCGTCAGGGAACATAATTGTACCATAATCCATTGAAATTATATTTTCTAAGTTGTATTGACTCCACACACCCCGTCTCGTCTCCAGACTTTTTATTCTATTGTTCTGTTTTAAAACCTTAGGTTATGAAAAGGTACAAATATGTACTTTTCACCTGGAAAAACGTATTTAAGGTACACAATTGGACCTTGGAGTTGTACCTTTGAGGGAACATTTACATTATTTATACCTTGATGAACAAAAATGTGCCTGCACAGAACCTTTACTTCTAATAGTGTACTGTAGGAGATGAGCAGGCATGTTTCTCATTTTGGTCGGACTGACTGTTTAAAAGAGTGGAAGTATATTAGGCCGCAACTGTGTATCCATGCTCCGCCCACAAATGCACTCTTTCATAGCAGTTGTTGGTGGGTTGGACATGCCTTACAGAAAATCCCTTTCAACCTAATAAGAAACTATACAACTCAACTTTGGTCAAAGCACTACATGCAGAGTGCAATGCTGCTATTTTATAATGGTATTCACTTTATATGCATGTGCAAGGTTACACTGATAGGATAGATCAGGTGTAGTTTTTTTGTCATGTGACCAAGCTATTGTCAGCTAACCATTGTAACGTTAGCAATAGCTCACCTTCCCAGTTTTAATTAGCTACAACAATATGGTACAACTCAGTAGCATGAAATAAAGATCTGGAAACTCAATGAATGGTGAATCTAAACAAACATTGTAGAAGTCTAGTTTTAATATTTATAAATTAAAATTTTCATCAGATCCAGTTGGGTTTTCAGTAACAAGCTTGTCCAACCTTGCAATAGTACCTTTGAAAGAGCTGTATGTGCTCTGTATGATAAGAAAACTAAGTCAGCAAATAGAAGGTCTGGATGTAAAGCCCAGTGATGATGATGGTCTCTTCCAGTTGAATTTGATGAGAATAGCTTAAGGTGAATTTTCTTTTAGTCTCAAAACAACGTCCAGACCAGCAGAAAAGAACTGTGTTTACACTGAAAATAAGCTAATTCCAAAAGTAAGAAACATCACTGCAGAATAATCCACAGCCTTATACCATCTGTGGATCTTCCTTTTCCTGGGCCGCTGCAGTTTTACAGTAACGTTGTCGCAGAATAATCATGACCAGCCCTCAATGCCATTTCGAGTATCCCTTTAACAAAAGCACTGCTGTTCAACAAACCTCTGCCGGTCGCTGAAAACCCACATAATGCCGCCAACATTAATCAACGTGCCTGGTAGCGAAAACTGCCTAAATGCTTGGCATATGTTCTTAAACAATAGGGGGAAGAGCATGAACAAACAATCTGTACTCAAGAACAAAAAGCAAGTGGTATTTTTCAAAGGGGGATGATTTTATTGATATGGTTTTTGGTGATTTGTATGAGACTAGTGTCTCAACTGTAATGAAGAAATGATGTAAACAGTAACCGTTGGAAACATCCACACAAACCTGGGGTACATTAGAAAGAAATATTCTTCTTGAGGTTAAAGTGAGCCAGTGTATGTATGATTTTAAAAAGTTTAAATGAGGAGATTTGCATGTCTGGTGAGTATAGAATAGTGCATTTTTCCTAGATAGAAGCTTTCTACTTAAAAGGAAACAGCAATATGAATGAAATGAGTGCACTGCTGATTTCGTCATCATCTTAGAACTGACGTAAACATCTGTTGCTAATCTGTTAAGTGTTTAAACCCATTATCAGGGATTTCACAACAAAAGATGGAAGTATTTCCTAAGAGGAAGGGGAAGATGGTTTGAAAGAGAGGCCCTTCTAAAACACAGTACTATGCCAAAGTCAGGGACCACTTTTCATTTATTTAATTTCCAGTCAAAAATGGCTGTTAAGTACAAGTTCATAATTTTTCATGAGATATTTCTGAAGAAAATTATGGAAGATAATCCTCTTGCACAAAGAAATTGCAAGTGGCCAAAGTAAAAAAAAAAACGTTGAAACTGAAGTAAATGGGACTTTTAACAACCATGCAAGATCTGGTAGACCACCGAAACTGTCACCAAACATTACTTAAAGTTGTTACAGTTATCAAAAAATAATACCAAGCTTCACTCTTTCTTCTTATCTAAAAAAACCCACTGGATAACATTTTGAGTGTCATTTTGACTGAAAATGAAATAAATAAATGGTGCTCTCTAACTTTTTTTGCACAGTACTGTACATTTTGGCCTGTAGACTTTAATACCAAATGATGACCTTAAAATAAAAACATTCAGAGAGGACCTGATACATGTACGAAGACATGATACCACTATTCTGATGAAAATTCTGAAAAAATTGAGAGGACCAATGGCATTTGTGGCAACAAGCCTTTTTATAAACAGTTGTTTCACTCATGGAAATACAATAGACTACCCTGTGTTTTTAGAAAGTAGAAATATTACACCAGACACAGTGTTTTAATCTGAAAATCTGTGCCATATAATATGTAAAAACATACAGTTCTGACACAAGATCCTTCCTGTGACAGCTATGATATTGATAGATTTGAACACCACACCACATGAGTAGTGTACACACACCTTCACGCTGCAAGAGGTTTATGTACATTTATATTGCAAATATATTGAATAATTTATTTTGTACAAATTCTTAACTGTCATGCATGACCTATGATCAGTATTGATGTAGTTTTTTTATGTGTGTTGGACTTGTCATTTAAAGTGTTTTTGCTGCTGTGAACGAGAAGGCACATATTATCTTGTATGTACATCTGTAAATACTTTTCATATATCTAATAAAATTCCTGGGGAGAACACATGGAAATAAATAAAATGTTTATGAATGAAGGCTGTCTTTTTGTATATTTTATGAGGTATGAGATATTTTCACATGCCTCCCTATACGCTATAAACAACAATACTAGCATATTACGTACTGCTGGTAAGTAGCTAGCTGGTTATTTAAAACTATATCTAGAGCTGATCAGCATTTGTCAAACATGCTAGTTATATGTATATCATAGCAACACAGTGGACAGCTCAATACACAAGTAACACTCCCAACAAGTCTCTGCGCAATATAAATGTTGCATTTTATGCTAAAGCCACAACTGTATGTAGCTTTTAGATACACTGTAAAAATATATAAATATAAATGTTATATATTATAATAATATAATATATAATATTTTACAAAGACAATGTAAAAATATCACCGTATTAACATTTATACCTTACAATTCTATTCTTAAACAGAGTAGCCAACATAGATGAATTTTGGGAGCAAATGTCAACTTTTTCGCCTGTGATTTGTTAGCCTACATGTCTCCACTCATACTGGAGAAATGGTTATGTTTGTGTTTGTGTGTGTTTTAAAATGCACTAAAAGTACACAGTGTATGTCTGGTGCGAATTTGCCAAGGCCAAATTTTTTAAATGACCATGGACTTGGTCTCCGACTGCCACAGCAACATCAACACGAGAGCAAAACTTTGTTGACTGCCAGCTTGAGTCATTTGTTCATTAGCATGGCAGTGTAAACTAGGCTTACGTCATATGGTATCAGGTTGTGTCGTATGTTGATACTGGTGCATTTGAGTATGAGTATGAATACGAGTTAAGATGTCCTCACTAACTTATTTCGCTAGAATAACTAACCACAAAGTGAAACAAAAAGTTTTACAACTTAACATTTTAAGTCTGTTGTTCAGCACTAGTAATATTAACAAGCCTCACTCTTGCTTCAGATCTAAAAAAATCTACAGATTTTTCTGTCCATTCTATGACTGTGAAAAGACATTCAAAACTATGAGTCTGAAAGGAAGTTATTGAGACTTATATTTCTTTACATATATGTTTTCTGAATAAATTACTGTACTTAATGGCAACAGACATTTGTGACTTTGGTATAAAGTACTATATTTACAATCAGGTTATTGTACAGATATACATAAAACTAGCCTGTTTTACAAGTGCTGAAGTTTTCACTGTCAAAGTACTGTAAAATGTAATGGTCAAAACCTGTTTTTAACTGCACGTAAATAAACCACACATGTACTGTGTTTTAACATTGCTGTTGTTAATTTACAGAAATAAAATGTAAATTCACAAAAAACAAATTACCACCACTGAGAAAATGTATTTTTACTGTTATATAACAGGTTTTATTTGAGAATGAGAATTTTTCAGCTGAGAATGTTAATGTGCATAGGCTGCTCTCTCCATGGTTTTGGGCCAGACCTGATTCAGCCCCCAGTGCACAATTTTGGATTGCAGCTCTGAATCCCTCAGCCTCATCGGTTTGACAGAATTGTGTTTTCCTGTTTCTTGTGTATGTGTTTTCATCCATCAATGTTCCCTCACCACAAAGTCCAAAACCCAGCAAACAAATACGTAATACAACCATTGGGAATCCCTCCATGACTATGAAGAAATCTTGAATGCTAGTGTAGCCACTGACGTACAGTGTGCCTTGGAGAGCTCTTTTAATCAAGACATGATGGTACCGCACACTCCAATAACGAAGAGCTATCTGAGGATTAAAAAAGACCTGCAAGATATTTTCTAACAGTGTTTGAATCATTGATTGGGTGCACCTGATTTCAGTTCGACAGAATTGAAATAAAAGGGGTTAACCTACTTTTTCCACATAAGTTAATTGCATTACTGTTTATCATTTCAATGAATTCCTTTCCAATCATTCTAGTCTGGTTTGCTCAATTTGTTTTCTAACAACTTGCTCTTTAAAGCAAATGTTCTTTCCACCATACATGATCAGAAGGGGTTTTTCCTTGTCTTTAAACCAGAAAATCTTGCTGTAGAAGCCTCTGTATTATCCTTGTAGGAAATAAGTAGGAATGTTATGTTTACAACAGATGTTTAAATATTACATTTTGGCCCGATTGTCTCTCAGGGGGAAGTGCATTAGGCCAAACAGTGGCTGAAACTGATTATACATACTCCGCCCACAAAGACATTCTTTTACAGCACCTGTTGCCAGGTTGGTAAAGCAACATGGAATGCTGACAAAAAAAAATCAACCTAATAAGAAACTGTACACAACTCAGCTTTTGTCAAAGCACTTACATTCAGAATGCAATGCTGTTTTTAATGGTATTCACTTTATACGGATGTGAAAGGTTACACTGCTACAATAGATTAGGTGTAGTTTTTGTTGTGTGAACAAGCTGACATCAGTTAACCTCTGTAATATAATCAATTGCTCAGCTTCCCATTTTTGATTAGCTTAAGCAACATGGTGCCATGGAACCACAAATGTAGATCTGGAAACTCAAGGTGTAGTGACTTTAAACAAATATTGTAGAGGTTTAGTTTTAATATTTATCTTCTAGTGATATTCACAATGTATGCATTTCAAATTTCCCACCGTTAAGATAGATCAGTAGTAGATGTAGTTTTTATGATGTAATCAAGCTAAATTAGCTAACCTAGCTAATACATAATAAGCAATGCTACATAATAAGTAGTGCTAGCTTATCTTCGCAGCTTTGATTAGCTACTGCAACACAGTAACAGTTTTTATCTGGAAACTTTTTAGAGACTCAGCATTGTGAACTGGTTGAAATAACTTACATTTTTTGATGTCTTCACTCTTTTTTTTCTAGCTAGGATAGCTAACCACAGAGTGAAACATAGAGTTGCACAACCTAAGACTTTAAATCTGTTATTCAGCATTAGTAATATTAAAACATACCTCGCCATTAGAATCATGGGTGCTAAATCTTGTATTGTTCAGTGTCTAACTGAAAATTGAGTTTGAGATTAATATGCATGCAGCTATGCACATGTAGAACAAGAATGCATTCAGTCGTTCAAGTGCCATTGTTATGTTTATCAGTCAAGAATCCCAGATGATGCCTTAAAATCTGGTCAATTATGTAAAAAAATGGCAAGGAAGCCTTTTGTTTCAATCTGCAGACACTTAAACCTAATTCACTTTAGTGTTCAAGTAGTTCTTTAGTTTTTTTTTCCTTTTTTCCTTGACTTTGTTCTTTCTCTCTTTTTTGTGATGCATCTTTTGTATTTTCTAACATTATTTTCTATATATGACAGGTGTTATTTAAAAAAAAAAAAACAATAATATTCAAGCATGTAGGTCTAGAACACATTATTATTATTATTATTATTATTATTATTATTATATTATTGTTGTTGTTGTTGTTGTTGTTGTAGTTTTGATAGTAGTAGTACAAGTATTAGTAGTTTTAGTAGTAGTAGAAAAAGTAGACGTAGTATTATGATTAGTAGTAGTAGTAATATCAGTAGTAGTGTGAGTAGAAACATTAGTATCAAAGTTAGTAGTAATACATTGTAATATCGGTTGCAGTATTTTGTGGTTTATTTATATGCGTGTATTTTGTGTCAGAGTTCATTCTGGTGCGTTGCCGCCTGCTGCTCAGCTCTGGGTGGAGGCTGCTCCTCTGCTACGCCCCCCACCCCCCTTCTTCTCAGTGCTACATAAAGCGCGGCGCTGCGCGCGCCCGGACACCAGCATGGCTCTGCGGGGCAAAGTGGCGCTGGTGACCGGGGGCGCGCAGGGGATCGGCCGGGCAGCCGCGGAGATCCTGCTGGAGAACCAAGCCAAGGTGCAGAGCTGGATTTGCTGGCTGGATCTGCTCTGTTACATCTTTGCGATAAACCTTCTTTGGCTGCGTTTTTAAAGCGGCTCTGCCTCTGCGGAGTCAGTGCTTCGAGATTGAGGAATGCGGAGTCCTTTATGCGCTGCTTTATGGTCGTTTCACGATTGCATGACCGTGTTTTGTTTTACTTTCTAGGTCGCGCTCGTGGACCTAAACCAGTCCGTTGGCGAAGAGTGCAAAAATGCTTTAGACCAAAAACATGGTGAAGGCAACTGTATTTTCATCCAGTGTGACGTGACGGACCGAGGAAGACTGCAAGGTGATAAGAGTCACTCATTACGGCTTGTAAATAAAGTTGTTGGTGTGGGAGTCGCTGCTTCTGGGGCTACTTTGGCTTTTAGAAAAGCATAACTCTTAACTCTTTCTGCTTAAAGCTAATGCTTACAGGCCAGTACTGTCTTTAGCTGTTTCTGCGGTCTTCTCTGCTTCTCCTGCCAGATCATAACATGTCTCATCCTCTCTGCTTTGGCACAGCCTGAACTTTTCAGGTAGACTGTTTATTATTTCGTTAAGCCCTTGAGCACCTATGTATTGGATCATGGTAACAAGATATGATTGTTCAGAACTCCGACAGATCTCTCTTATAAACTTCCTAAAGGGCCCGGGGCAAAGACTTTGGAATGTTCCTCAGACGTCCAAAGTGTTTGTGCTTTCTAGGGGTCCCTTTCTTTTGGCCTAAGCGTACTATCAGTGCATGACTGTGGATTTGTCCCATTCTATTCATCTTTTATTCTTCGCAGACAGGCTCATTTGTCTGTCCTTGGTGTGGCGTGGAGCTCTTGCAACCCTGCTGAACTTGTTTCTGCAAAGTGTGTTAAGTTAAGAAGAGCTATTCATCGAGTGTATGTCTGTGGAATGCTGCAGCTGCCAGCCAAACACTGGCTCAAATCCTGTTCCCTTTTCTAAAAGTTGGCAGAGCAGTATATGCAGCTTCACAACTGTATAGAGTGCCTTCAGGGGCCATGTTGATCGTGAGTCATTAAAACTTGTACTCAGTGTTTTTTCTTTTTTTTTTTTTTACTATTTTAGAAGCCTTTCAAAGCACAGTCGAGCAGTTCGGAAGATTGGATATTGTCATCAACAATGCTGGAATCAACAATGAGAAAAACTGGGAGAAGACCATAGAAGTAAACCTGGTAATTACAAGCGTGTTCTGTCTTATGGCTATTGGCTGTTTGGTAATAGGCATATTTACTTGTGGTGATTGCATTTGTCCTGATCCTCAGTTTACACAGCTTAGCCTGGATTGCCTTACACCTACTGCTCCAGGGCACAAAAGCCACCACCTGACATTTAAGATTATACGCGATGAGCTACTATCACATATCAAACATAAAACGCCTCCTGTTTTGCTTCCCTCACATTTCAGGCCTAAGAAGCCCAGCAGTATAACAGCGCTAGTGTGAGCCTTTGACACACTTGTCAAAACCTTTTAATAAATAAGCATTAAACGGGAAGCTGTTTAGTTCTGTTTTTTGCAAGAGCTACAAAACTGCTACAAAAACACTGCTTCCACTGGAATAATTAAAAAAAAACTTGCATAGACCCTTGTTGTGTTGTCAGCCATCATCTGCACTCAAGCCTTAGGGGCCTTTGGGGGTGAAAGAGTTTCAGTGTGTGCTTTCAACAATAGCTTGGAAAAGAAAACCAACTTGCTCTTCATTCTGTGGAAGAGACTTTAATGAACTGAGTGTTGATGGAGAATACCCAAAGGATTAGCTTTATTATGTGGAGATGACAGGATACCTCTTTTTCTGCACCGCTATTTAAGTCGTCAATGTCAGTTAATTTTGTTATTTTTTTCTGAAAATGAGTTATTTTTAATTGAAGCACTTCAGTTAACCTATCATGCTCAAACTACTCAAACTCTTTGTCACAGGAACAATGACACAGCTAGTAATCTGAATGTGTGCTATATGAGGCTGGATTTGTTACAGGACTGATTGTGATTCATTCTTTCTCAGTTTCATTCCTTTTTTTGTTGATATGCCCTCAATAATAGTATTGGATCAGCCAGCTGTATCTTTATGTTGGCAATACCTTTGTAGTAAACTAACGGTGAAAATCAAATATTGCGTGAGTATTACTGAGTGTCAAGGCAAGGTGTCCTCAGACTTATGACAGTCTGTGTACATCATGGTGCGGATGATAATGAGGAAATATCTCACAGTAATGGTGCAAATGGTATATTATAGTGCTTTTAGGAAACTGGGCCCAAAACTGTAGATGTATTGATAAAAACGCCAGGGGCTGGTGGCCCCAGCTATACATACGTTCAAATATAGGCTAGTTATAATGGAAGTGTTTACTGTGTTGAGGTCTACGTGTTACTAAAACAGGTTGCACCGCATCAACTAATTTTTTAGGTTGAACTTAGTACATACTAAATATTTAAACCTACCACAAAGTGGGTGTCAGTGTTGGGGAAACCAATGGCAAAAACATAGATAGAACAGAGAAGACCAAAAACTTGACTTTGGTGGTTAAGAAAGCTTGGCTATAAGTGGTTCTACTAGTTCTAATCATAATGTTGTTTTTAACTTTCAGCTCCAGGCACACATAAAGCTTCCAGTTCAGTGAGACTGCACTTTCATTTGTAACAAGGAAATATTAAAGGATAAACAAACAATGGCTATAGATTTTCGACTTTGTTTAGTACAGCTGTAAAAACTAGGGTAGTCAAATGATGATAATCAATCACAATTAATCACATTTGTTTTTGTAGTTAATCATGATTAATTGCATTTATTTGCTCAAATTTGACCAAGAAAAAAGAGTTATACTAGTTAAAAAGCTGTGCATTTTGTTATAGGTACATAAGTGAAGAAAATAAGCATCACCTGAATGCATTTATTACTTTCAGTAATTTATTCACATGAATTTTCATTGTGTAGATGCTGAGTTCAAATGAACTGAACATGAAACTCATGTGAATGTATGCTAAAGTAACTGATTTTACTGGTTTTGCTGCATGAGCTGTGTGTTTTACTTGTAAGTGAAACTTTATGCTCAACATGCTGTGGTGATAAACAAATTCACAGCATTGCAGGGACCAGAGGTAACTTTGTTTTTGTAATGTAGTGAGCCGTTTAAAAGCATGCATTTAAAGAGAGGAAAACAGCTGTGGTGTCCCGGCATGCAGTTAGCTGGGTTTCATGGTGGAACCAAGAGTAGTTTGAAGGATCAAACTAGGAAAAATGCAAAAAAATGTTTTTTTGACTCATTTGAGAAATGACTTGCACACCATGTGTAAAAACTAAAACTTGTATACTTGTACACATTGTTCCCTTATATTTATTTTTTCTTCCATGGAATGGATGCTGCCGACACATTTCTATGGCAACATGGTTATGGTTGATTCTGTACTTGTCATCATCAGGTTAAAGCAATGGTGTTCACACCGTGTACACATTAGTTAGCTGGGTCTAGTTAGGACATGACTTACAGAATTGTGCCACAACCAAGTAGTTTGAAACTAACTATTGTTAAGAAAGCACTGCAGTACAAATGCTCTTATAACTAGTGCAACCCAGAATTAAGTTATTAATGTAGAAATATTCTAAGACAGATGGTGCTTAGAAGAATACAAATATAACAGGGCATATCAGGCAATGCAAACCAAACACTTAGCACCGGCCACTCTGGACTCTGGACAAGAGCGCAGGATGGACATTTGATTTGGCAGGCTGCCAGGCCTTATCTAGAAATATGTCAACAGCATCACTGTGACTAAACACTCATATCGCTCTAGAGTGTTTTTACTCCACATGGTGACATCAGTAGAGCTAAATCGAGACCTAATGCTCCAAGCTTACCCTATAATTTTATAACAGATTTGTAAAAGTAAATGAATTATTTGGAGTTAGAACCTCTTAGAGGGCAATGACATCTATTACACATTTTAATTTGAGAATAACTCAGTTAAGCCAGTAGTCCATGTAGTTACTAAATAATAAGCCTTAGAATGCAATAAGCCTGGGATTATCATTAATCAAATGCATTTATTAATCAAAACTGTATAAAAAGGAGCACAGATTTGACCACTTTTAATCACATATGACCTACTATACGTCTGATTCATGGAACTTTTATATGAAAAGGAACCAAGGCAAGATTTAAGTGCAAATGATGGATCAGCTTTAGCGCATGAAATGAAGCGCCTGCTTACGAGTGTTTAATGGCAATATGTATTTTTTTTACAGACGTCAGTCATAAAGGGTACATATTTAGCCCTGGACCACATGAGTAAAGAATATGGCAAGGAGGGAGGAGTCATCATCAACGTTTCATCAATGGCAGGTAAAACTCTCATCCGTACAACAGCAGATAACTGACCGAATGGGAATATTTGATAATTGTCAAAAAAGGGATATCAAGGATAAGGGGCATGAACGTTTTTTCCACTGTGGTTCTTAAAGGGACATTTAAAAGAAAAGTTCATATTTGCACATATTTGTTCAAATAATCTAATAATCTAGCACTGATATGCAAACAGAAACCACTTTTTTAACTGCTACCTTCAGGCCATTTGATAAGAAGTCAAAAAACTATCAATATAACACTGCAAAACATAAAAGCTTCTACTGGAAGTGAAACATCATCAAAAAGCTTCACATGTTCACATTTGCTCAAATAATCTGTTACTGATATGCAAACAAAAAGCAGTTCCAAATCAGAGAGCAAAGAATACAGGAAACTGTCGCTTTGTATTTTGTTAAACATCAGATGAAAAGCATATCTGTGCCTTACAAGTGCTAATTTTCCAAAAAAAGCTGAGTGGAATAGAGCAGAGTGATAGCCTTTTTGCTTCAGACGTGGACTTTGCTTATAGGGACGGTGCAGTTGTTTTGGCCATTAGCAAGCTTTAGCATGACTCAGATGTTTGCTCAGCCTGGTGACGCCTAAGCAAACAAAACACTTTCAGTCACATTAAAGACGGCTGTGTTGCAGGCGGTCCAGTGAAGCACGGTGTCTGCATGGGAGAACAATGCAAACTTACATAACACTGTTTCGTTCATAGACGTTTGATTCCATTTTATTTTAATAGTGTCCTTTAGTTTAGCTAAAAGTGCTCAGATTGTCTACAAACCACATGGTGAAGTTCAGGTTTGTGTTAGTTTTAGTTTTAAGTTCAGATTAAAGTTTTGGACTGAGGTTAAGATTAGTGTTAGAGTGAGAGTTAGGTTTAATCCCTTACATAGCCCAAAGTTTTATTACACATAACTAAAAATAGCTCAGCCACTTTGCATTAAAGCCCCTGTAGCTATTAAATAATAAGGCTTAGAATGTAATAAGCCTGGGATTTTAAGGGGTTAAATTTTTAGGTGTAAGGTTATAGTGAGGGTTAGAGTTTCTTAGGTTTAGGTTTAAACTTAGGTTTTAGGTTGAGGTTAGGGTTAGAATTAGAGTGTGTGTTAAGGTTTAGTTTAAGTTTTAGTTTGAGAAATAGATTATGGTTAGAGAAAGTGTTTAATTTTAGATTTAGGTTTTGGTTTGAGGTTATGATTTGAATTAGAATGGGTATTAGTTTTAAATTTATGTTTTGGGTTAAGATTAGGGTTAGAGTGAGTGTCAAGTTTAGGTTTGGAACTAAGGTTAAGGTTAGGCTTAAAGAAAGTGTTAGGTTTTAGTCTTAGTTTGAGGATAAGGCTAAGGTTAGAGTAACTGTTAAGCACAGCCTTAGGTTTAGATTCTGGTTTTGTCTGAGGTTAGGTTTGAATAAGAGTGAGTGTTAGTTAAGTTTTATGTTTAGGTTAAGCTTAAGGCGAAAGTCAGGATGAGAGCGTTAGATGTAAGGTTTCGGTGTGAGGTTAATGTTAGGGTTGGAGTGAGTGTTAGATTAGGTTTTGGTTTGAGGATAAGATTAAAGCTAGAGTAAACGCTAAGCTCAGGTTTAAATTTAGGTTTTAGTTTGAGGTTAGGATTGAAGTGAGAAATAGTTTTTAGTTTAAGGGTAGGTTCGGGTATTGGCTTGAGGTTAAGGTTGGTTTGAGTCAGTGAAAGTTAAAGCAGGGCAACAGACAAAAAATGGCTTTTGGAGCCAGTGGCTCCTAAAAGAAAAAAAATCAGGCGGTTAAGCTTTTCAACATTCACCTCAGGTCAGCTCTGTGATTTAAGTATATCTGCCTCCCACCATATCCCGCCTTCCGCCCAATGACAGCTGGGATAGGCTCCAGCACCCCACCGCGACCCAGAAGGATAAGCGGTTTAGAGGATATGTGTGCGTGTGTGTGTGTGTCTCCCACTATGCCTGCATTGAATTTCATTTTAAGCTCTTTGAATTATTTTTTATTAATTTTTTTTTTTTTGCGTGCACAAGACACTGCATGGGCTAAGCGAGTTTCCTTAGGAGCACTCGTTGTGATAATAAAATCGTGTGCAGTTGTATGCATCTGACTCGTGCCATGTTTTTTCACAGTCTCTTTTTTGAAATGATTCATTCCTGTTGAGAAATCACAGGAGTCCTGTTAAATTTTCCAAGCTACATCTTTGTTTGTTTTTGAACAGAATTCGCAACGCACCTCTGCCTACTATGCTGTAGATTGGGGTTCAGTCCCCTTCCTGGACAAGCACCAAACACTAAACCAATAAGAGTCCTTAGGCAAGACTCCTAACACTACCTTTGCCTACCTGTGTAAAATGATTAAACTGTAAGTCACTTAGCATAAGAGTGTCTGCCGAATGCCATACATGTAAATGTAAATCTTCGTGCTCATCTTCCACTAGTTCACAGCTACTAACTGAGTCAAACTGAGGTTGAGCAGATAACCTCTAAAGGTCTGATTTACCATTTTCTACATGCTGACATTCACTGCAAAATACTCATCTTGGCTCAGTTGCTTTTGATGTCACGTTTTGCCACTCTGGTTGAATTCCTGCGAGCATCAGTTACGTTTGTAAAATATGTAAAGAAACAAAAAAGTAATACATACAGAAAAATAGTAATTAAAAAAAGTTACCCATATAAAATCATAATAATCCAAAGTTGCTACCTGTCACCACTGGTGAGTTAATTAATTATATTACTGTAAAATGAATACTTGTGGTCACACTTGTGACCATTTTAACCGTAGTCTGGAGCCCTGTAAAGGCGAGTTAGTCGAGAATCTCCAAAGCGTCTACAGTGGATCATCAACATAGTGTTACCTTTTTGTCTGTAGTGCAGATAAATCCCTATAATGCGGAAGCACAGATAGAAGATTAGTTGATCAAGTAAATTTTTTTTGTGTTCTGTATTTTGACTTGCACATTATTTCTCAATCTCACTCTCTAAGGAACTGTTATTTGTATGCAAAAGGTGAGGGTGAGACATAACATGCATAGCCCCAGTGCTTTGATCTGTGAAGGCCTATTTGCATCAGAAATTGCTCTCAAATGGCAATCAGTTGAGCATTTGATCTGTTTTTGGAGCCGTTTCCATTGCCTAAACCATCTACTAATATTTATATTAGCTTTCTGGGTCACCTCATATAAACTATTGACATTGTATCTGCCTGTTCTTTATGCCTCCTAGGACTGGCTGAGAAAACAATAGCCCACTCAATTCCAACTCCCCTTTAGACTCGCAGCAAAAAGAAATTTCTCATAGCTGTCTAGCTTACTAGTACACCTGCCAAAAAGAAGTCTCTGGAGGTGGTAAATCAGGAATGAGCACAGATCATAACATAGGCCTTTGTTGTCTCTGTGAAATGTAAGAAACTCCACTATGGCTTTGTTGGGCTTTGTTGTCCATGATGCTGCATATTTAGATGTCACTGCATGAGCAGATTAATGCTAATGTGAAAAGTGTGTGTAAAAGTAGTAGCAGATGTTATAAGCAGTAGACAGTGAAAAATGAATATAGCTTTTTATTTCATGCATTTCTGATAATCCTCTGGAGAGTTTTGTTGGAAAGTGTTGTTGTCCATCTGGGTTTAGGGATCATGAAGTTTAAAAACAGCTTGAACCTTTGCTGAGGACTAGATCCTACTAGTAGTTTTTCGTAGAAGGGTAAACAACAGGGATGGCCTAGTGGAGGGACATTCAGGCCGGTTAACTGATCTGTGATGCTTTATTGGGCCAATACTGCCTTGTTGCTTGTTGCAGCTTGTTGTCATTTATTTTCACACTGAAGTGAATTTCAAAACTGAAATTCAGGACACTTTCAACTGAAACTGAAAGTGAAAAAAGCAAGAATTACATTTTTTGCTATCCTTTGCACTTCTGCGCTATTGTTTGTGAATTTTTTCATCATCAAAAACTGAATGGCATTAGTGTACCTCTGTTGTGTCGCTGGATTCTGCACATTGAGTGAGATGTTGTGTTTTCAAGTGCTGTCAAGCATGTAGTGAAGAAGTTTTTGGTTGTTGTTTCCCATCTTGATACTGAGAATGATAAATTGAGATTATAAATTGCTTGTCTTATATCCTTCCTACAAACGTGAAACAGATCCAAGTTGACTTTTTCACTCTGCTGCTGCTCAAACTGTCTCTGCACTGACTGGTGCAGGAGAGCAAAGAACAGACACCACTTTTTACTGTAGGCCTATTTAATCTTTTCATTCAGAATTTTTGGCTATTTTTCTCTTTTGGTTGAAAACCGAAAGTACCTGTTAGAAAGTAAAAACTGAACAATTCTGTTGCATGCCTAGTGTCTTTAAACGTTAGTGCTTGTGCCTGGATTGTCTGCAATCTCTTTATAGAGATAATGCCTGTATAGCGAAAAAGTGAAACTGAAGGTGGTGGCTGCTTCAGACTACAAAGCTAAATGAAAATGTCTTGAGGGCCCTGACCTGAAGGATTTCTAATTCCAGATGATGATGAAAAGATGGTATTTTATTGAACATTAATGCAACAGTTGATGGAGTTATAAAATAACTTTCTATAGATCTCTATCTTCTGTCTCCTGTGAAAGTTTTTGTGCCCACTACCTCTCCATCTTCTCCCTGTTCTTCAGTATTACCTCTCAGTCCTACTTCTCAGTCATATCTCTCAGTCCCATCTCTGTTTATCAAAGGGGGTCTGGCCTTCTAGCACAAAGCAGAAGCCATCTAGAACTCCAGCCCAAGTTTTGAGAGTTCTCTTCCCTCCTGCAGTAATACTGTCTCTTGTAATATTGAGATATTACATTTCCAAACTATAATTATACATTCAGTCCACTGAGAAACTAGGAGCTGCAGAGGTATCAGTAGAGGGTGAAAAGGCAAGGTATATATATATATATATATATATATATATATATTCCTTAATAAGCTCAGCAGCATATATATATATATATAATATATAATTACTATTTTGGAGATACTTGTTTTTCTTTGGACA